TATAGCAGCACCTCCTTTTGCTCTCGTAAGTCTCCCATATGTTCAATGAATTATTTGATGACTTTATGCTTATGCTGCTTCTTAGGTTGGAAAAGGCAGAACATTCTAGCATCACTCAAAGTAAAAGGAAATGTCAAAATGATTTGCAGAATTATTATTAGTATTAGAAGTGGCCACCTGTTCCTGATTTGTGAGAAACAGAGAAAATGTCCAAGAAGTTCTTTTGAAGATAAACATGCGATATCCAGGCCTGGAAACTTCTGATAACTTGGAAGAGCAGAGAACCTAGCTCTCTGTTGGGCAAAAGTATTCTTTTAAATTCAACAAGAGCTAAGTAAACTCCTGAAATCTGAAATGTTTTTGAATAATGCCTAAATGTTAATCTGCTTTCAGCTGGACCAACTTTTTACAGTAGAGGGACTTACGGATGAAGATTTGTTGACCCATGATACTGAAAATTCCTTGCAGCAATTGGTGAATCCAAAGGCAGATGCCAGGATGTATGAACAAATCCAGATTAAAGAATTGCCCAATTTATATCATTTGAGAATCCAGTTAATACCTAAGTTTTGTTTAAAGATTTTTAATGCTTTTAATATGTACATCTCTTAGATACTATTATCACCCAAGGATAGCAAGTATAATACTTTATTTTCACAGCAGAGATCTGAGTTACCTCCTTGAGTTTTTCTTAATATTTTTCCCATCTTTGCTGTAGCATTTTCTGTCTTTTTTTCCTGGTCCATTTGAAGGTTAGTAACAGATACCATGACATTTCACAATTAAATTCCTAATTACCAGGGACATTCTCTTGCACAGCCATAATTTTTCTTATTACACCCAATAAAATTAAGTAATATACAGTCCATATTCAGATTTCTCCAGTTATTAATAAATGCCTTTTATCATAGTTTTGAGCGTTTGGTTAAGGGTTCTATCATCATGTCTCTGTGGTCTCCTTTATGAACTCTCTTGTCTTCCTGACTTTCTTGTGTTTTCTTATTTTGTGCTTTATGATGTTAACATTTTTGAAAAGTCAAAGACAGTTGTCTGGAAGAAAGTTCTACAATCTGGGATCATCTGACTGTTGGCTTCCACACTAGATTGAGGTTAAATAAACGTTTGCTGGCAAGAATACACTGCTTGTCTTCAGAAGGTGCATGATGTTGGTTAGGCTGAGTTCAATCACTTGGCTAAGCTGGTGTTTGTTGAATCTCTCCATTGTAAAGGTGCCTAATCTTGATAGTTATTACGGGGTCTGGGGGGTAATTCTTGGACACCATGTGCATATCTTGTTCTTCAACAGTCAGTTATCCAGTGGTTTTAGCATTCATTTTTGATCCTTATATGAATCCGTTGTTATGTTGGTGGTTGCTGGAGGGCTCTAACTGAATTTTTAGTCACTTTACTGGAGAAAAATACTCCCTTTCATCCGCACCCTGTTTGGGGAAAATCTAGGCCCCAAAGGTGGATGGCAGTGGAGTTGATGAGACTGACACTCAGCTAAGTGAAATCAATCAGTCAGGAAAGATGAACATGACACGGTTTCCCTTACATGTGGTATCTGAAAAACAAAACAAAACAAACAAACAAGACAAATAGACTTGTAAACACAGAGATTAGACCATTCAGTACCATGGGGTTGTGGAAATGGGTGAAATAGGTAAAGGGAATAAAGAGGTACAAACTTCAAATTATAAAATCATTGTGCCACAGGGATACAAGTACAGCATAGGGAATGTAGATCATAATATTGTATTATCCTTGGTGACAGGTGGTAAGTACACTTATTGTGGTGAATGATTTAAGTAATGCATATAATTGTCAAATCACTAAGTCGTTCATCTGAAACGAATATTATATTGTATATAAACTATATTTCAATAAAAATTTTTTTTAAGAAGTGAGAGTCAAAAACACCTCTTCTGATATATATTCATGATTAAAATGTCCAACTTGTTCTCATTTGCTTTGTGAGTATACAGGAAAGTTCTGTGAGGGAGGGGGAGATCTCTAGTGGTGGGGATTTGCATTTAAAATAATAAATCTTTATTGATGTAGATGAGGAAAAACAAAGTTAATGGCCCTGATTTTCTCTTACATGAAGAATCCAGTAATAACGAGATGACTTTTCATTCAACAGCCACAATCTGAAAAGATATTTGATGTTTGCTCTCCCATTTGAAAATGCCTCAGAAGTAGTTCTTTATAAAGCATATCAGATTGAAATCAAATGGTCATCAAAACCATGGAATTCCGTTGAAAGGTGGGAAGATAAACAGAAATTGTTCAGTAGGGGATTTCTTGATCTCTGGCTTATAATCCTTTAGGGAATTTATTTTAAGGCTTTTGTACCCACCCAACTCATGACCGGTCACTCAGTGACTTCGTGTTATCTGATGAGGATCTTATTTCACTCATGAAAGCGGTGTTGTTCTCTTTGTTGGGATCTGTGGAGAGAGCAGGAAAAGACTGACTCCAGGCAGTGCAACGTGAAACCCGCCCGTCCATCTTGAGATGAGCCAGTGCCCCGCATGCAGTGTAAGTTCTTCTGCTTGCGCCCCATAATGCAAAAACTTCGTGAGGCAATGAACTATTCCTCCTGCCTAAACAAAATCGCTTTTAAATATTGGGATAAGGACCTTACCAGGAAGTCTCTATGAATTTATTTATGGTTGGTTTCATTTTCCTTTTTGTTGTTTTGAGAGGACACTGTTTTTATGCCCAGTTAGACCTGAACCTTGAGTCATGAATTTTCACATTCTTTAAGTATGGGGAAAATGATTTTGCCTCAGTTTCACTAGTGTGGTGGCATCATGTACTTTCTTCGTCATTGGGATCCTGCTGAGTAAGAAGTTGACTTGGCATTGGGTGGTCTGTAAAGTTTATGTTAGCCTGTCCGAATTCTGTGTTCGGAGAGAGCTGAATACTCCCTCCATTTGCCTGATACATTTTTCATACCGTATTCTGGCTTATATTATGATGGTGTTACAGATTCTAGATAATGCATATTTATGGCAATACGTTGCTGATTCAGGCAGGTGAGCTTTATGGGTGTCAAGGTTGAGCAATTCACTTGAAAGAAAGATTTTAGTTTGAGTCATGAGATCCTGGATCCCAGAAATTAAGTAGTTAATTAGATGAGCATGTGCTTGGCAAGGGCGATAATTTTATGAGAGGCCTGAGGTCACAGCGGACCTGTTGTCTCTCAGTGACTGTTTTCGGTTTGCTCTCAGTCCAGTGGTGTATAGAGGGCCTCCTCCAGCCACGGGCCCATGTACGTGACACAAAATAGAGGACCTGGTTGTAGTTTGGCAGCTAACAAGATTTGTAACATATTTGATGCTATAATGAATGAGGAGGTACTAAAAGTTTTCCAAATTTTAAACACTACCACTTGCTTTCTGAGATGCAGCATGAAACCCCCAAGGAATATTTCAAATTCTAATTCTATTTAAAGAATGTTTGTTGTAAAGCTGTGTAAAGAACACTGCTCAGATCTTACATGTAGTTAGTTACCTGTTGTAACTCCGGGGGGAAAATGCCGGGGCAAAATACTTTGAAACTGAAATCAGTCAAAGGGAGAAATAAATAGGAGAAACCCATTTATTTCTTACAAGCAGTCTCCACTTCTGCTCTCCCGTGTTTCTCACGACCCGGCTGCAGAAGAAGGGACCCCATCCAACCTCCTTGCGTGCCCTCGTAATTACCTATTGATATGGAGGTGGCTACTCTCCACCCCTTGGAAACACCTATCAATACGGAGATGCACTAAGGCCAGGTGAGAGATTCTGGAAATATTGCTGTTTTACCCATACCTGTCAAGCAGGTTTATATAACTGAAAAACAGACACAAATATGTCAGAAATCTTACTAATGAACAGGGCTTCTTAGTCACTGTGGGCAGTCTTTTGAAATCATTTTGTCTGGGTTTGACTTAATTACTAGAGAAAGAATTAAAATACAACAAAACTATGGTTACATGTGCCCTGAATGGCAGGAGAGATGGTCTTTCTTTTAGGTGTATCATAGCGCCTAGTCTACAGCACATTAAGGCTCCATGCGTATTTGCTGAATTAAATTTTCGAATTAGTTGGCAGATTCCTCAGGGCTTAGACTTCTCAGTCTGTAGGCCACTGCCTCACTTGACCTTTCAGGGTTGCTATTTCTTGTCGTCCTGTCTTTTCCTGCCCTGCCCCACCCCGCCCCATTCCTGCTCTTATTCCAGCTGGCCAGTAACTTTCGACTTGAAGAATAGCAACTCCAAGCTGTTGTATTTCACTCTTTTTTATTATATAGGAGAAAGTTCGGAGAAATAGGATATATTCAAATCATTCAAAAAATTATGTAGAGACAGACCACTCTGAACCAGACACTGTGTTAGGATCTTGTAGTAAAAAGGAACTGAGACCTGGTGCTTGCCGTCCAGAGGTCAGAGACTAGGTAAAATAGTCATGTAAAGAGAGCAGAAAAGTACAAGTAATAGTGTGAGAGGGGCTGGGCAGGGACTGGGGCAAGCTTAAGGAAGGGCCTGGTGAGCTTCCCCTGAAGGATCGGTCTTGGCCTCACAGTGAGCCTGGAGCACAGTCTTTAAGGATGAGTTCCCCAGGCAGTGGGGGATGTTGAGAAGGTAACAGGGAGAATTTTCCAGGGAATGGCAAAGGTAATCCCTGTTTTGTGAGTTGGCCCTTATGAGAAGCATGAGTGTCCTGCTGGGGGATGTGGGCAGCAGAGATTGAAAGAGATCTGGGAGAGGAAAAGGCAAGGCTTTGTGAATGCTGCCAGGTGTGGTTAGAGATGCCACCATTTGGCAAGAGGGGGCATAGGTGGGATCTGGATGGAAGTGAATGAAAGTCGTGGGACAGGTACCGTGACGGGACTCACAGTCTTAGTGACGTCTAAGCGTGAGAGAGAGTGGACGAGGGCGCTCAGGTGACCTAGCCGAGTGGGAAGACATTCTGGGAGAGGTGGATGGTGTGAGGAGTCTGGCTGTGAAGATGCTCAGGGTGGGACTGTGAGCATCTATTACTAAGAAGGCCCTGTTTTCTTTCTTTCTTCCCATTGTACTGTCTTTCCTTGGGACAGTATCTTCCCAAATATTGCCCTTCCCTTGAGCAAATATCCCAAGATTGCCCACCTTCACTCATACTGATTTATCCAGCAGCTTCAAGTCTTTCACCTTAAACTAACCACATTTGTAACTCCAACAACCTCATGTGTGAAATCTTTTAAAACCTTCCTTCTCATGTTGACTTTTTTAAAGTACTGAATGTGTACCTGGTGAGACTATTGTCACCCCCAACCCTTTGTCGTCAGATGTTTACAAGGCTTATCTCTTAAATAATAAGCCACTTGAGCCAAAAGATTGAGTGTATTTTTGGTTTAGGGGTTTTATTTTATTTTGGTAAGCTAGAAAGTATCTGGCAATCCTGTGTGCTAAATGTTTGTGGAAGGAAGGAAGGGAGACAGGAAGGAAGGGGGTAAGGGCACTGGAATTGAGGAAAGGAAGGAATCTGAGATGGAGGAAAGGAAGAATCGTGCTTTACCACATGAACTCTGGGCATCATGTAGGATGGTAGCAGAGCCTGTGGGTGAGTAAGAAGGAAATTGGGTCGTGACCCTGGAGAGGTATGTTGGTACCAGTAATGGGGAGGTCAGGGCCAAGGGGTGAGTACTGCCTTCCTCAAGAAGGTAACATTTAGAGGAAAGTTTCATGACAAGTCAAAGGAATTTTAGAGGGTACAGTGAGGAAGGGGCTGGGAAGAGAACTTGGTTGAGTCAAGATCTGCTAAAACCCATAACTTCCAGTAAATATGGCTTCTGAGTGGGAAATATTTCAATGAGAATTGACTCTTAAACTCCTACTATTGGATGCCCCTTGGATCAGGGCTTCTGGGGAGATCCTTAGGAGGATGAATTACCGCACCAACAACAATAATGTTTACCACGTACTTGTACTGTCTCATGAATTCACACAGCGACCCTATGTATTATTACTGTCTGCATCTCAGGTATGTGGGAAGGTCAGCTAAGCATGGTTAAGTAGCATTTCCGATCCTCATGTTCCTCCTAAGTGGGCCACTTCTTTAAGCCAAGGTAACATGTGCTAGAACCTGTCAGGTCCACCGGGAACATCAGACCTGTTGTCTGAACCCTTGAAACAATGCCGATTGAAATCAGCTTCCTGAATGACTCAGGATCTTCTGCCACTTGCTCGAGCGCCAGAAGTTCATCCAACATGGCTGTACGGGAACCTGATGGGTTAGACTGCTGCCTTCCGAAAATGGGGATTTGGTTAATGATAAAATAGGTTAAATATATATATATAAAGTAAAATAGAATAAACTATATTAAGAAGGTGAGGAGAGAAAAAGAATGCCTTCAAGTTAGGAAGGATAATACTAGTTAAAATTCCCAGCAAATGTATGTCAGTCTTTTAGACGAAATACATGCTTTCAGCCTGAGTTAAGATGATGGGCTGGAGGAGGAAGACATAGAGAACAAGAATCTGTATTTTGTTTATTGGGGGAAAAAAATTAACTCATGGGGACTGCAGGACAGGGACTATCAAAAAGCTTAAAAATCTGGCGGTATAGAGTGTTCTACTTGAAGGGAGTCTTGAGGTTGGATTCTCTTTCTTCTGTGGGAGTCCTTTCCTTTATGCCGCTGATGGGTGCTCTCAGCGGCCGTCTCAGGGTGCCCTCTCCCCAAAAGCGAGGAGAGCACTTGCTGCCTCAGCCGGCGGAAGACCCACCTGAAGTTCAGACAGTCGAGGCTGTGTGTTCCTCCGGCGGGCCTGCGGAGGCTGAGGGCGTCCCTGTAGTGCTTGTCCTTGGTGACCGGTTGCCTGGCTTTCCGTCTGCCAAGAAAATGAGTGATGAGTTAGATCCGTGTAACCTGGACAACAAGGGGGTCACTATTTGCCCATTTATGGAAATCAGATTCACACACACACACACACACACACACACACACACACACACAGTTCCCTTCCTGGTAGCCTTCTCCCGCCCCTGGCCGTGACAGACCCCGGGGCCCCGGCCCTGCTGCTCAGCACGGAGGAGTGCCCCATGCGCTCCAGCCCAGCGCCCATCACCAGGCACCTCGGTGCCCTCTCACCTCAGCAAGTTCATGCTCCTGCAGCCTTGAGGGATCTGTGAAGACCGGAGGACATCTTCATTGTTTGCCGGGTTGAACTCGGGCAGATCTTGTCGAGAATCATGTTCGTGGTGACTGACCCTGAGCTGTATCTAGCGGGGAGGTGGCAGCCAACCGGAAATCTTCCTCCGGAGCAGGTTCAGGGAACACAGAGTCGTCGTCATCATCATCTTTGTGGTTTTCTAGAAGTTCCTCAGGCTTTTGCACAAGGCCATCCAGTTTGCTGAGAGTCGGTTGTGTCTTCTCTTCAGGGTTCTTGTCTGCCCACTGCTTGTCCCCGCTGAGGTCCCAGTGAGCTCTCCAGTCTGAACTGCAGGAGTCCACGTCAGCATCCCAGGCCAGGGGAATGCTCTGTTGGCAAAGCTGCTCCGGGTCATCCTGAATTTTGCCTCGTCTGCCCAGGAGTCTCCCTAACCTTTCAGTGTGCCGTCTTCCTTGGATAGGAGGGGCAGAGAGGACCCAAGGACCCGCAGGAGACGCGTCTTCACAGGGGAGTGTGTGCTCAGAGGAGGAGTCCTCGTGGGGGAAATAGCTCACGGAGAGGCTCAGGTTTGACTCAGAGGTGGAGTCCTCGGTGCCCGTACAACCGCTGCCGGAGGGTGAGTGGTCCATGGAGTTCGAGGGCTCAAATCTCAGATCGCCCGCATCTCAGGAATCTTCAAAAAAAATAGGTGGGGTTGGGAAGAAGAGGAGAGTCACGGTGCCTAAGCAATAGTATTTTTCATGGATTTCCTGTCTGTACCTATCCCATTCTGATAGAAGTTCATCCGTATTTGCATTCTCCAATGAAGGGCAGAGGATGAGCCCACTCCCTTAAAAAATTTGTTTCTGTGTATAAATCCCTCTCCAGTAATTTGATTACTAGATACCTTGCTTCATTATCTGTTTTACTGTAGTTGAATTTGTACTGTAAAAGAAAATGATCACTGTATGAAACTGGAAAAATACAGAAATGTATAAAGAAGAAATTAAATATGCCTATGATCCCATAGTCCAGAGACAGTGATAACTATCATGAAAACGTTTCAGTGGATTTCCTTTTACATGTATACATATACATGCACACATACGTGTATATACATATGGATGTGGATGTCACATCGGCCATTGAAACTCAGATTGTTATATTTTATGGTACAACCTACAACAAACATATATGGCTATTCCATCATTTTTAGCCACTTTCTTATTAATGACCATTTATTGCAGTAAACTCCCTTGTCAATAAATCTTTGTGTCTCTATCTGTATATGGGTTTAATGTATCGAAGGTCACAGACATATTGTAGGCTCCTGATAGTGGATATCCAATTGCTTTCCCCAAAGGTTGTAGCCAGTTAGATGCCCATCCTCCTGCCATCTGCTTTTCCTGTGATGCCCCAGTAAGTAAGTGGGGGTGGACGGATGCACACCACACACACGCACACCTGGGTGGCTGTCCACATGAAGCAGCTGCTGCCAACTCCTGAGCCGTGAACTGGGGAGGTCAAAAATACTTCAGAACCTGACTCTCAGGCTAAAAGTCCAACTGCCGGAAGTCTGTGTTCTGGGCCTATTGGTTGCCTTATTCCTGGTGTTAAATCTACATTTTTTTACACCATTTCTGTTAACTGGACCTCTTCCTTGTTCCCGTATTATCTCTCTTAACAGCCCCTTAGTACCTGTGGTGTCTTGGTCCTTCTGGAATTGGAAACAGACTCCTTCGTGCTCACCAAGCCCTCCCACCTTGCAGGCTGCTCTTCCCTTAACCGCCGTCATTCTGGTGGCATCGTGAAATTGTTCAGGGTTTGGTCAGATTGGAGCTCACCAGCCTGGTCACTTTGTCTTCACTGCTGCAGGGTTCTCAGTGGGGACGTCATAGGTGGAAGTAGAAAATCCTTTCTCGTCTGTTTCCAAATGTGCAATTCTGAGGACAGATATAGGTTACGCGAGGCTCTCAGTTGCACCGACTGAACCAAAAAAACTCGTTTCTGTGAGCACAATCATCTTGGCAAATTAAAGCCGCCTTCAGTCTGGTCTAAACTGTGAGTCTGTGCAGTACTGTTTCTAGGTCAATTCAGTGATTCTTGGGAAGGTAGTGAGGCACTTGCTCAGAGTTTCCGAGGCCTGGAGCCCCTGGGTACCTGAAAAAGCATATTCTTAAATTAACCTTGCTTTGATTGGCATTTCATCACATTTTAGAAATTTCAAGTTTTAAATAGCATTAAAAGAAACATAAGGTTTTTATGTTTATCAAAAAAGAGGCATGGATTTAAACACAGGCCCACACATGCTAAGGAAAAAAGCCAGGAAACACTGGTCTGACTTAAAAGAACCATAACTTGTTGGAATCTATGAATTACTTAAGATCTTTTCCAAATATTTTTCTCTGTCTTTATTTCCATTTAACAAGATTATATTTAAACTTTGCTAGGATTTGGGGTTTTTTTTTTTTTTTTGCTTTTGTACAGTTTAAATCTCTAGGTTCTGTTAAGTAAGACAGTTTTAGGTGACTGTTTCAGGAGTTGTGAAATAGGCAGAGTTGGAGTCGGGGGGAAACTGTGTCCACTACCCAACAGAGGCCACCTGGCAAGAAGCCACATCTGTCATGAGTGATGAGGGACTTAGGCTGATCCTGGAGGTGTAATTCAGGAGCTACATACACCCTAGTGTTTACTGAGCACTTACTGCATGCCAGGACCTGTGGTAAGCACTTTACATTTGTTTCTTTATTCTGCACGGCAGTCCAGTATGTTAAGTATCATTATTTGCTCCCTTTTACAGATGAAAGAACCAAGGCATGAGCAGTTCTAGAACTTGCTCACATTCCCAAATCATAAACCCTAGAACCTGGATTTAAATGTAGGCGTCTGGCTCCAGAGCCCATACTCTTACCCAGTGGGCACGCCGTCTCTCAGGGGCTGACCCCCTTATCTCCTCCCTGGAAGATTCCTGGGAGAATTGACCCAGTCCAAAATCAAACATGTTCCGCTTCTTTGAAAGACACTTCTTGGAGGAGAACATCGTGTCCACAGACATGCAAGAGGTGTGCGTGGTTCAGAGGACTGGCCCAACCCAGTGGCGTCTGCATTTGGGGTGGGCTAAGGTGAGATTTCAGATAGGTATTGAACTTCCTCTCTGGTGTAATGAGATCTGGCCTTTCATGAAAACTGTGACTGTCTCCCGACTAGGAGCCTAGAGAAGAATTCATAAGTTGCTTTCTTTCCATGAAGCTGGAGTGAAGGCGAGGGAAAAGCGGTATGTTATGCTGTTACCCCTGGAAATGGAACACTTTGAACTAAATATAAACATTTAAGTAAGAAAAAATTATTTTCAGCCTAAACCACTGAAGTTAAAAGTGATCCTGAAAATAAAAGGGCTTCAAATGGGGGAAGCCTCAGAAAATGTGAAAATTGATTTATATATCATTTCTCTTTCTCTTTCATTCTCTTGCTCTCAAATATATATAAGTACGTGCATGTGTATATGTATATGCTCATATATATTTCATTTTAAATATATAACTCAGATAGTGGAAGTATCTGAAACTCACCTTTTCTCCTGCCCCAGAAAACAGGATAGTCACTGTTACTAGTGTGATATATAGAATTCATTCAGTTATTTTTTATTAAATAATCATAGAAGAAGCCATGGCACACAACATCCTTAGGATGCCATGCTGAGGAGTGTATTTCTAAAAGATAGCTTACCTTTCATCTCTAATAACAGATCAGGGGATTTGGGGTTCTCATTAACAATACCACTTGTGTTAATTTCTTTAAGGCTTTGACTTGCTGGTCTGGCTTCTCTGGGATGGGAGTTGTACTAGCTAAATAGTATAAGCTGGATCATCATTATCTTTTCTTTGGAAGCAAAATCATCCATAATAAAACCTTCTGAGATTTTTTAAATGGTAGTGTGTTATGAATTTACAATATTTCCGGCCTGAAGCCAGTAATAATGGTAACTTTAAGAATTGGAACACTTCCTAGAATTCATTTGAGTTGATGGGATTTGGAACCTAAATATACAGAGTAGGAAGTTTCTAATTTAGAAGTTAAGCTACTGTTGTGGTTAATTTTATGTGCTGACTTGATGGGGCTACGTGCCACCCAGATATTTGGTTCAATATTTTTGCTGAGTGTGTCCGGGTTTCTGGGAGAGATTAACATTTGAATGGGTCGACTGAGTAAAGCAAATTGCCTTCCCCAGTGTGGGTGGACATCATCCCGTCCTTTGAAGGCCCGAAGAGAACAAAACACAGAGAGGAAGGGAGAATCTGCTCTGCTCTGCGTGTCTCTGAGCTGGGACATTGGTCTTTTACTGTCTTTGGACTCTGATGGGAGGGAGCTCAAATCGTCAGCTTTCCTGGCTCTCCCGTGATTGGTGAGAACTGGACTATGCCAGTGGCCTCCCCAGCTTGCAGTGGCAGATCTTGGGACCTTTTAACCTTTATAATCATACGAGCCAATTCCTTGTGATAAACCTGTTTAGTTATATATACGTGTGTGTATGTGTGTGTGTGTGTGTGTATGTATGTATGTACATATGTGTGTGTGTGTGTGTACATACTGTTCTGTTTCTCTGGAGAACTGAAACTAATATAGCTACTTAGTTTTGATGGACTCTGTGATACGATGCACTAAGCACACAACATCAGTTCTGGGCGAGTCTTATCCGTATGAGTACCCCTCAGCCTAATACTGAGATAGTATCTGACAAACCCCAATTGTGAGACATTCAACAAAATAACAGTGTCAAGGTCATAAAGGGTAAGGAAAGCCTGTGGAAATTGTCACAGAGGCAGAGGACTAAGGAGAAATAACTAAATGTACAGAGTGATTCTGAAAAGGATTGTGGAATAGAGAAAGGACATTTGTGGAAGCACTGGGGAGATTTCAATATATTCTTTATTTTAGGCAATAGTTATTATACCAAAGTTAATTTCCTGATCAGACCACCGTATTAGGGCTGCATAAGATGTTGGTATTAGAGGGAGGGGATAAAGCATATATGGATACTATGTTTGCGATTGTTCTGTAAGTCTAAAATTTGGTCAAAATAGAAAAATTTTGTAAAGAGTACAAAAAACATATTAAATAATGTAACAAATACCTATATACATATAAATCTGTTGAGCCATCTTCACAGTTTACCATATTTGATTCATTATTTTTTTGAAAATAAATGAAACATTCTAAATAAAACTTAAGCCCCTTGTATTCCTTCCCTGACTCCCTGCTGTCACGATCACTCTCCTGAATTTGATGTTTGTGTACCCCATGCACATTTTAATGCCATTTTATGTATTAATATATTTTACATTTGGAGACAGAACCAGTGTAAAACTGAATTTACTTAATGCCACTGAACTGTACACTTAAAATGGTTAAGACGGTCAGTTTTGTGTTATGTATATTTTACCACAATTTAAAAAATTGACAGGGGGAAAAAAAAGAATGTAAGTGAACTACAAGTGAAGTTCTTCAGAAAAGAGGAAGTCCCCTTATTCCTGCAGCTTGTTTTGTTTTGTAAGAATTTTTGTGGCAGGGACATCCATCTTCCAAACCAGATTTTTTGCTGAAATATTTACTGTGTTGATTTTTGGGGAAGGGGGGAGGACAGTACGATTTCCTGTGCTCTCTTTATATGTTCACTCCCTAGCAGAAAAAACCTTCTTGAAGCTCATATGCTTAATTAAGGAGAACGGTGCTTTGATGTAAGAAGAGTTCAGTGTTACCAAGCCTCACCAAGGCTACACGCTCTGCTGGGTGCTTTTCACAAGCTTGGCCATTGAATGTTCATGACAACCATCTGAGTCACGTATTTTCTTCCCAGTCGTGACTTCTGGTGCAGTTGAGAGAACCCGAATCTGTCTCCAGCATCCAGAGGCCACTCAGAGCTAAGCCACTGAGAACTGACCTCAGCCCATTATACAGCCTGGGTCGACATGGTTGGTCAGCAGCGGCAGTAGATGGGAACTGGAGGTCTCCTCTCCCACAGCCTCACCGCCTGGTATTGCCATTAGGCAGCTCATAGACCAAATCTTGCCACACAGACAAGCTTTTAATAGCAAGGAAGTACAAAAACAGAACACAACCTTCTTTTATAAGCTCCAGAACGGTGCTGTCCAATGGGGTAGCCACTAGTCATGTGTGGCAATTAAAAATTTGGTTCTTCAGTCACACGAGCCAAATTTCAAAGGCTCAGTGACCACCAGTAATTAGTGGCTACCTTATCACACAGGACAAAACATTGCCATCACCGCAGGAAGCTCTGTTGGACAGAACTGCCCCCGACAGTCCCTATGCTGGGCCCTCTTGTGCACTTGGGTAGCACTCTGAATGAAAGAAAGTTCCTTCTTAAGGGTCATAAAGTGAGACAATACGCTAGCATCAGAATTTGCCTAACTTTCTCGTTGGGATCAGGTGACATTTCCTCCAAAGTCTCTAGAAACAGGATGGTAGGAATCTTCAGCTAAGGGCACCATTTTGAAAGGCTTAGGCAATTGAGTTGGTTAGATTTTTATGTTCTGTTTATGCAGAAATGGAAGTATCTGTACAATACTCATAGCTTTTCAAGAACATCATTTGATTGATGAAAAATCATTTGTGACAGCTGTTATATACTAAATAACAACCCTCTTGTGTTCATCAGATAAACAGTTGATTTGACTTTCTGCTTATGTGAGCTCTTGATGAGTCATTCAGATGCCTACTGCCCCAGAGTATAGGTTAAAAATAATAATCACCTTCATATCACAACTGCCCTTTGTGAAG